AACGAGATCCTTAGGGTCTTAAAATTACTATTAGAAACATACTGATTTAAATTCTGTTTAAAAATCTGAAAGAAAAATGATTAAAGATCTTTGCTCTACATACATGAAACTTGTTAAGGCAACGGTTTCATCCTTTTGAGCTCTAATCAAAATATTTAGTGGGTTCCAGGAAATGAATTTTCCATCCTTCCTGGTAATCTTCCCATGCCCAAAGCTTAAAATCAATTAAATGACACCAGTAAGCTATTCTGAAAACTTTGCTTAGAGAGAAACTCAATATGTTTTTCAACACAGGGAGCAGAGATTTTTTAATATAGTTTTAAAAACCTACAAACTGGGGTGCCTGGGTGTGCCAGTGGGTTAAAGCCTCTGCCTTCTGCTCAGGTCATGATCCCCGGGTCCTGGGATCAAGCCCCTCATCAGGCGCTCTGCTCAGCAGGGAGTCTGCTTCCTCATTTCTCTCTCTGCCTGTCTCTCTGCCTATCTGTGATCTCTGTCTGTCAAATAAGTAAATAAAATCTTAAAAAAAGAAAAAAAAAAACCTCAGGAACAAGTCTATATCAAAGGTACCTTAAACTCAATTAGTCTTTTGTAGGCAGAATAATGCCTCCCCACCCCCAATTTGTCCATATCCTAATTTCTGGGAGCTGTATGTGTATTACCTCACACTATAAAGGAACTTTGCCAATGTAATTATGCTAAAAACATTTATATGGAGATTACCTCTGGTAATCCTCTGGATTACCTGGGTGGCTCTAAATCTAATCACATGAACACTTAAAAGTTGAGAACCAGGGTGCCTGGGTGGCTCAGTGGGTTATGCCTCTGCCTTTGGCTCGGGTCATGGTCTAAGGGTCTTGGGATCAAGCCCCGCATCGGGCTTTCTGTTCAGCAGGGAGCCTGCTTCTCTCTCTCTGCCTGCCTCTCTGCCTCTCTTTTTCTCTCTGTCAAATAAATAAATAAATCTTTAAAAAACAAACAAAAAAAAACTAAAAGTTGAGAACCTTTTCTGACTATAGTCAGAAGAAAATATGATTATGGAAAAATGTTCAGAGAGATGCAATGCTGCGGACTTTAAAGATGGAAGAAGGAGATTACCATGGAATATAAAGTGTCTTTTAAAAGTTGGAAAGTGCAAGGAAATGGATTCTCCACTAGGGTCTCCAGAAAGGAAAATGGCCCTATCAGTACTTGAATTTAGCCTACTGTGACTTGCATTGAACTTTTAACCTACAAGAATTTCAGATAACAAATTTGCATTGTATTAAGACCTAAAGTTTATGTAATGTTTTCAATCAGGAGCAGTAAAGTCGCACACAGTCCAGAATAGAATCTTTGGCTCTACACTGGAACTGCATTCTTTCACACAGTTCTTTTCCTTATCAAGGGCATTCCTCTATCTTTGATATGCATTTTCTCTGCTACCTTTTAAGTTTCATGAGGCCATGCCAAATTTGGTCAATAGTTTTCCTTGGTTGACCAAAAGTCACATAATATTGAATAGACCTCATTTGCCTTATCATAACTCTGTGATATATCTTACCTATTTAAAATAATGATCCTGAAATTAAATATTTAATAAAGTTTCTTTAAAGCCTAGGATATTTGTTTACATATTAGGGAATTTTATTGAGGTAAGAATGCATATTTCTGTATTGCTCCCTATTCCCTAGTCCTTCTTACTTCCAAGCATATACCATGCCTACTGTATTTCTTTTCTCTAGGTATTTTTGGCAGAGCAGAAAATGGTATTTGCCTGGAGTTTTTGTTTCTGATTTTTGTAGAAGTCTAAACTGACCAAGAGGGTGGTTTTGTAATATATTCTTGCTGTTCTCCTAAGAGCAACAGAATAAGGGAAGGATAAAATTTCCAGAGACAACAGAAAAGTAGAAAATTGAGAGGTGGGATGTGGGTGATGGGAGAGAGAGATGTCCACAAACCCGGGACAATTATTTGGGGGTGATAATACTTGGAAGCGCAGAGAGCAATGACTATGTGATATACCTTCAAAGGCTGGATTCTGGGTCCTAAAGTCCAGAAGGACTGGAAACAACAGAGCTCATAGCCTAGATGGCTTTATAGACTGTACAATGAGCATCTCAGCAGGAGCAAAAGGTAGACTGCTGTCCATCATAGATTTTTTTCCTGCCACTCTGACTGTATGTCAAATACTAGAACTTCAGTAAAATCTGGGTTAACAGACTGGATATCTTACCCATCTGGCTGAATAAGGATACAGAATGGGAATTAACCAATATCAAGAAAGTAACAATATGTCTAAGACACGTGAGCAACAATATTTTAATCTAACATGTTGAATTATACACATATACATTTTATATTTCCCTCAAATGGTAGATTGCTATATACTAGCTATGAAGTATTTCAGCACTCAACTTGCATATCTGTAAGGGATAACTCTGATGAAATATATTCCAACGATCTCATTTTCCTTAAAAAGGACTAAAATATATCTAAGGATGCAATCAAATAAAACAGATTAGAGAAAACCACTATATAGAGTAAATAGGTAAGGATGAGAATTTGAATAAACAGGATGCCAGAGCCTGGTAAACTTAAAAAAGTAGGTAATAGAGGCACCTGGGTGGCTCAGTGGGTTAAAGCCTCTGCTTTCGGTTTGGGTCATGATCTCAGGGTCCTGGGATCCAGCCCCACATCGGGCTCTCTGCTCAGCAGGGAGCCTGCTTCCTCCTCTCTGCCTGCTTGTGATCTCTGTCAAATAAATAAATAAAATCTTTAAAAAAAAGTAGGTAATAATTATGAGTGAAATAAAATACTGATTGGAGAGAATAAAAAATTACAATTATAGTAGCTCTATCCCATTCACATTTGTGGGTAGGAACTAGAATCTGGGTTAGTTGGATTACATTAATATTAATACATTAATATTAATATTAATACATTAAATATTTTGAAGAAAAAGTTGTTAATAAGGTTTAAATAAGGTTCTTAGAGGGATGGAGGAAATAAAGGAGAAACATAAATTAAGACTTTCATAGAGAGATACTGCTACTCTCTAAAGATTTCAGAAAAAATACTGAATTTAGGAAATAAAAATGTTGTGATAGTATACATTTTATTTATTTTTGAAGCATATATATATATATATATATATTTAGATTTATTTATTTCAGAGAGAGAGGGAGTGTGTGTACAAAGCAGGGTGTAGGGGCAGAGGGAGAGGAAGAGAGAATCTCAGGCCGACTCCCAGCTGGAGCCAGATACAGGACTTGATCTCATGGCCTGAGAACATGACCGGAGTCAAAACCAAGAGTTGGATGCTTTTTTTTTTTTTTAAAGATTTTATTTATTTATGACAGAGATAACACAAATAGGCAGAGACAGGTGCAGAGAAAGAGAGGGGCAAAGCAGGCTCCCCGCTGAGCAGAGAGCCCGATATGGGGCTCGATCCCAGGACCCTGAGATCATGACCTGAGCTGAAGGCAGAGGCTTAACCCACTGAGCCCCCAGGTGCACCTAGAGTCAGATGCTTAGCCAATTGAACCACCTAGATGCCCCTATATTTTATTTTTTGAAAACTGAAGCAATATTTTTAAATATTATGAAAATAATGAAAAAGTTCTCCGTGATTGCATAGTAGCAAAGGTATTAGCCTATAATGATTTCTCTTTTCCCATTGATTTTTATGTATTCATGCTTCATAGTTTCCATTGTTCCCTGGGATATCCATTTCTAGTTGATTACCTCCTAACAAAAAGTGTTTTCAATAATTCCCATATGATATAACCTTTCATTAGCTTCAAAAGTAGTTTTTGTTCTTAGAATGTTGCTCTTTAAAAAAGAGTTGTCCAAATCATCTCCTTCATACCTTTGAGAAACATATTCCTCTAATTATCCCTGCCCCCTGCCACTTCTGAATGCAAAGTCCTAAAGAGTTTCCATGAGCATAATACTGTGGCTATTTAAGTTAGCTAAATGTCAGGTATTTCCATGTGATGACCCAGGTTCATATTCTTACAATTCACCCCAAATTTGAGCGTTTCCAGAGAATTGATAGGAAGCATTCAACTAGAGTCTGTTCTAAGGAAGGTCTTTGTAATACATTAGGTAAGAAGTAGTAGAAGGTTGATGGTGTAGTTTCAGTTCAAGGCCTATCTTGGGAGCAGGCATGATTCTGAGTACTGAAATAAAGTCATCCTCCTGGCCCAGTTCCCAAGGACTCATGGCTGAATACCAGAGTAAATCATAACTAAAGTTTGTCATTTTATTATTACATTCACCATAAAACTTTGAGAAGGCTAACTATCACAATCATTGGTAATCACAACTTACCAGTGATGTAAAACAGCAATAAATTGACATGTCACATAAAAAAAAAAATCTTAGCATTGGAGGGAAACTCAATAAATTGATTTTCCTGGGACTTGTCTTCTGGCTAGGAAGACATTATTATAATCAATTGTAAAATGGGGATGCATAATGTTTTATGCTTCTAAATAATTATTTTAATTTGTTTCATGTGTAACAAGTGAATGATGTTAGTTTATATGTGACTGAACAGAGGTGGATTATTGGCAGTACCCTGGAACTTTCTTTCTTTCTTTCTTTTTTTAAAGATTTTATTTATTTATTTGTCAGAGACAGAGCACAAGCAGGGGAGCAGCAGGCAGAGCAGCCAGAGGGAGAAGCAAACTCCCCGCTGAGCAGGGAGCCCAATGTAGAACTTGATCCCAGCACCCTGAGATCATGACCTGAGCAGAAGACAGACGCTTAACCAACTGAGCCACCCAGGCATCCCTGGAATTATCTTTCTGAGTGAGAATGAAAATATGTTCACAGCAGAGAGGGCACAATTGAATAAAATGGTGCATAGGGTATTTCTCCTAATTAGGAGCCAGATATAATTCTAGGTATTTCTGCCAATCTAAACCTTTCCTAAAATTTTCTTCACCATTAATTTCTTGCTTAATTTCCTCATTTAATTTACTGGTCTTTAATTAAATTATGCTGTTTTTTTACTTCTCCAGATTTCCTAAGCAGGCAATTGCAGTAATACACATTTGTAGAATGGTGCTCATATTCAGCTCTGCCACAGTGGAAAAATAGTTGTTGAGAGTAGGTACCTTTTATTTCCCCTGATTTCACAGGTCTTGCACCAGCAGTCACAATTCCCTAGAGGCACTGCTTCTTTTCTTTGCATCCTGCAACTCTTCAGGGCTGTACATCCAAGTGCTCTGGCACTACATGGCATCTGAAGAATACAGAGTTGATTCAAATAAACTTCAGTAGGGAATAACCCTAAATACCTTCCTTTAGAGAAATCTACTGGGTGAAAAATAAAATTGAATGGACATAAAACAGTAATTCCTGGATTATATACTAAATGCTTATATGTATTCAGATAAATCTGCTTTTTAAACACATTTTGCTCTAGACTCTTTCACCAGAATTATAATTCCTGAAATAGTCTAGCTTTCTCTGCCCCCCACTTTAAGCATTAGGCTGTATTAATAACAAGAAAATTATGACTCTTGTGTGTGATCATGCCTAATTTTTTGCACAAAGTATTTTATTTTGAAAAACCATTTCCTTTAAGATGAAACTCAGAACATGCACATTTAATACTACATGTAGTTCAACAAAAAAAGACCTTTTTCCTTCTTAGAAAGCCCTTTAAAATTATAAACATGATATAAATGTCCATGTGTATATTTGTATATATATATTTCTTGTCTTACCAACATTTTCTTCCTAATACTAATAACGTTATGAAATCTTGTCTATTTTCTCCCTCCTCAAATCTCCAACAGCCTCCTCTCCTCACCTTCTGTTGATGAATCTCATTTTTTATGTCATTGAAAACTCCTATATTTTGTCACAATCAAATGTACCAATGTTCTTCCCTTGGTTCCATTCCTGCCCCATTTCCACTCCCAGCATGCCTGGCAGAAGTCTTCCTTAGAGATCTTCTTTTCCCACTCACATGCAATGGACAGACCTCTCAGGCTCAGTGCACATGACGATAGATACTGATAGATTTCTAATGGGTGATTTATTTAGACATAAGTAATGGGAGTTCAGGTAGTACAGTGTTAAACCAGTGGCAGTCTCTTTCGTATCATTATTCTTGAGCCAAAAGTAAAGAAAAAATCAAGCCAGTGCATCGCCCTGGGAAAGTCTCTAATGTTTCTTAAACTTCTCTTCCTAATGTCACTAGAATTAAATACATAAACCTGGGCCCTGGTTGGCTCAGTGGGTTAAGCCTCTGCCTTCAGCTCAGGTCATGATATCAGGGTCCTCGGATAGAGACCCGAATCAGATTCTCTGCTCAGTGGGGAGCCTGTTTCCCTTCCTCTCTCTCTGCCTGCCTCTCTGCCTACTTGTGCTCTCTCTCTCTGTCAAATAAATAAATAAAATATTTCAAAAAATACATAAACACAGACATACACACACACACCCATAACTCCCAAAATACATACTTTCTATAAATAGAAACAAACCCAAAAAGAACACGCACACACACACAAACACACACACACACACACACACAAAGCTTTTGGGGTTGGTCTGTCAGCCTAAACCAAAATCATTGTTTGAAAAGAAAAAATGTTATAACAAAGCACATTTACACTAAAAAAAAAAACAAAACTATAAGTTACCTTTCATCATTGGAAACAGAACCTACCCCTCTTTCTTCAGGGTCATCTAAAAAATTATAGATGGACTATATTTAGAATATATTAGACTATATTTGGAATATATTTAAGTATATTTACAGAAGTATTTTACAGTGGTACAACTGACAAAAAGCAAATCCATCTTTCCCTCTAAAATAGATGATGTTTTTACGCTACAGATCATGATGAAGATGATAATGAAGATTATAGATACAATGATAACTGATTCTCTCTAAAATGTCTCACTTTTTGCTTCTTTAAAGATTGCACTTTAAAGATTAAAAATAACAAGTATAGCTATTGACTAATCTTACTAAGTTATATAGTGTACCATGGCATTCATTAAACAACTATGAATACATTTATAAATTAGCAATATAAGCAAAATATTGACCAATTTTATAAATAACTGTAGATTAAATATAGATAAAAGTTCTGTGAGATCCAATGAAATTTCTCCTAATACCATATCATTATTCAACCTCTTCCTGTAATATTACCATTTCCTCAGTATTTGTTTTAATTTCTCAATATTTTATTCACAAATACTCTGCAGTTAAAAGATTAAACATGTCATAAAAGGAAACTTTCTCTAAATCATAAATTATGTCTCTAATTATAAGGAAAGATGTAGAAGTCACTAGAATTAGACAATTTTCATCTGAACAGTTTATGTTGGATAATTTCTGTAAGCCCATAAGCCATGTAACCTTTAAAATATTACTTGGTATCTATGCTCCTGAACTAAATACTCAAACTGAAAACTCACTTTTTTCACACTTTTTTCACAATGAAAATTCATAAGTGCAACTATAACCAGAGGCTGTGGTTGTAAAATCACATTACTTTACAGATATTGACCAACTATTTTATGCAATTCCTAGCCATTCTTGGAAAAAGTAATTTTTTTCATGAATGTAATAAAATGACATGATTTGCAATCATGTATAATATTTTTAAAGTTCCAAGTGGAGAGTTTTAGAAGGGAGGGGAATGGGGAAATGGGTGAGCCTGGTGATGGATATTAAGGAGGGCACTGATTGAATGGAGCACTGGTGTTATACACAAACAATGAATCATGGAACACCACATCAAAAACTAATGATGTACTTTATGGTGACTAACAAAACACAATAATTTTTTTTTCTTAAAGTTCCACTGCAATTGAAAGGCTAAAGCACAACTATTTTTCATGAACAAAATTGAGCAGCAGTTTTTATTTATTTATTTATTATTTATTATTTACAAAGCCATTATCCCCCTAGTTGCAGTCTCAAATGAGTTTGTTTTCCCTCTCCCCCTTCTATCATTCAGAGCAGGGAAGCCAATCCAAAATTTAAGGGTGAATAACAGATAGTCTAAAAAGCCCATTTTTGTGGCCCATTCTTGTTGCTAGTAATTGGTTTAGTATGGGCATGTGATGAAATCCTGGCCAATGAGATAAAGAAAAACATCTATTGAGAGACTGGTTGAAATTAGTGTTACAAAGTTCAGTAAGAGGTAATTCCTCTTCTTCTGAATACTTTGTCATCTGTATTTTATATCTGTAACTGTATCTCTGATCTTGTGCTTATAGTAGCTGGAGCCTAAGGACATTTTTAACCCACTAAAGGTGGCAGGATGGAAAGATGGTAATAATGGGGACCATGATGATGTGATTGTGCTGCTAAATTAATCAAATCTGGAGCATACTTTTCCTTGAATCTTATTTATATGAAAATGAGTTCTTTCTTATTATTAGAGCCTGTGGAGTTGGAATTTTCTTGGTTTTGCTTTCAAAATATTAGAATAGGTATATGAATGCCTTCATCCTAAATTTCACATTTTATTTTATTTATTTATTTTTAAAGATTTTATTTATTTATTTGACAGGCAGAGATCAGAAGTAGGCAGAGAGGCAGGCAGAGAGAGAGAGAGGAGGAAGCAGGCTCCCTGCAGAGCAGAGAGCCCGATATAGGGCTTGATCCCAGGACCCTGGGATCATGAACTGAGCCAAAGGCAGAGGCTTTAACCCACTGAGCCACCCAGGCGCCCCCTAAATTTCACATTTTATTTGTAATCCTTGTATCCATTGCCCCACCAAGTTTTAAAAGTATTGCATAATAAATTCTATATTTGAATGCATAACCATTAAAAGCAATTATTTCCAATTTATGTTCCAAGATTCAAATTCACTACACCAGAATTTAAATTAAACATATTTAAAATATATATAATAATATTCTTATATGTATATAGTTATATGTAGTATTTTAGGGATAATATTTTAAGGATTTTAAAAATATTGTAGGAATAATACAAACTTAGTCAGTGGCACTATAAACTATAAAAATTTATTTGCACCCTTCCAAAATATCCTGCACAGAGTGTATATAGTTAACCAAAAAGGCAAGTTGTTTATTAAAGAAATGTGTATTATATTTCTGTCTTTGAGAGGTCTAGAATTTGTAAGGATGTGAGAGGACCAGTGGCAGCCAATTCACAAGATTTAGTATAAATATTTAGCACTATTCAATAAATAGCACACATATATCCCAAAAGCATTATGTATAGACCTAGATAGTGGTGAAGAAATGATCTGGGTTAAATGTAGCTCTGTAATGCGAACTTGTTGGCTTTGTGACTGAAGTCTCATTACTTACTAGGTTTTGTGACTAAAAGTTTATTACCTGTTATTGCTCTTCTAAGGCTCATACTCCTTCTTTCTGAGATGGATATCATAATATCCCTATCTCTTAATTGTCTCTTATGATATCTAAATGAGAATTAGCATTTAGTGCATGAATAATATATAACATGCTATAAATATGTAATTTTGGAAAGCATACGGCTATTCAGTTATAAATTTGTTTTTTTTTTGTCTTCTTCTTTGCTTGAGATAAGTGTAATGCAAATAAATATGTTTCCTATAGGCTTTTAGTTTCTGATTTCTTTTAAATATGTAAACTGATATCATCAATTTAGTTTGTGTGTTTAGTAAATTATTTTGCTGCCGTATCAAATAGTATTCAGATGAAGAGAAAATCTTTTGTACTCATAAAAATTTTATCATTCATGTTTAGCTGCTGAAGATTCATAAAATGTTCTGTGAAAAATATAATATAGGTATTTTGAAATTTTCAGTGTTGGACAATGAAAGTACAAACACTTTTAAATCATGATGTTAGATACGGGGAGAGAATTTGACTCTCAGTCAATTTTCTATTTATTTTCTCTTAGGAACATTAAAGTAGACTATTTCTTATGGTAAAATTGGCCACTTTCAGGTACATTGAATTTGGAATGAGAGAATTATAAATATCTGGTGGGAAGCCAGTATTGAGCAATCCTAATTGCTGCTGACCCTTGCAACTGGCCTGTCCTTTGCTGAAACCTGAAAACAATACCAGTGGAATTGTTACAAGAGATAGTTCCTATTAAGAATCAGTATTAACCCAGAGTGACTTCTGTATCTCCCCAGTGTAAGTTTCCTTTCATTCCCTCATCTATGACCTATCATCTGAAGAACCAAAGAAAATAGCTTCTGGGAGCAACACAGAATACCTGAAGGATACCTAAACACATAGAATATGCATCACTGCCCTGCTAGAAAATTGTGTTTTCTGACCTGAATTTTTCTAAGTGAATCTACTGTCAAACATAGCCTATGACATCCTGTGAATATGAATGTTTAGTGGACCCTAAGAAAACTCTTATGGGCATTTCAGTGTAGTACCACAGATATGTTCTTTTAGAAATTCATAATTATTTCTTTACCAGAAATCTTTATACCTATAACATGAAAACAGAACTTTCAATTAGATAAATGTTGTTAGATATAGCATTTTGGGTACCGTATATCTGTAAATTATCTTGGTAGGAATTGAAGAGACACAAAAAGAACAAAAAGAGACTTATTTTGGTTAAATTATATAAAGTTACAAAAGATTGTTGCCCTTTAAAGAAACAAAACAAAAGTGAAAATAAGCCAAATAAATTACCAAATCATAGTAACTTTTAAAATTCATTAGATTACTGATGATGAATTTAATTCAAGAAATTTAAATGAATTTTGGGGGCACCTGAATGGCTCAGTCAGTTAACTGTCTGCCTTCTGCTAAGGTCATAATCCCAGGATCCTGGGATTGAGCCCCCCATTGGGGTCCCTGCTCTGTGAGGAGTCTGCTTCTTCCTCTCCCTCTGCCTCCAACCCTCACCCTCCACTCCCCACTTCCCCCATTCTTTCTCTATCTCAAAAACATAAATAAAATATTTTTAAAAAGGAATTTAAATTAATTAATTCAAAATATGAAGGCCCATTTTAGGAAGGAAAGGCCTCATGGCTGTTTTCACTGGTAAAATGGTGGGAAAAGAAGAAATCTTGTGGAACCTCAACTAAAAAGCAGGTCAGCATCTACCTCCAACTTCTTATCATTGATCTTCAATGAGTATATAGATTATACACTGAAGGCTAGGTTAGGCCGTGGAAGCTAAGAGATCAGCTCATGGGTCACATGGGACCTTTTCCAAGTATACATATTATACCCTCAAATACTGGGGACTGGTCAGCAAGATGAGAGATTAAGCTAGAGCAGTTATTAAAAGGCTAAGAGAATTACCCAATATTCTTAAAAACTGAACACTACACTATAAAACAAAAGAGATATCCTGAGATTATTTCCCCCTTAAAACATTCAAAGCTAGTAGTGAATTGAATCTATCAAAAGATGCATGATGCCTCAGCTCAGCTCAACTACAGAACAGAGTGACATAGTGTCACTATCAACCTGTCAGAGGTAAGTAAGGACATACTTCTTTTTATTATTTATTCCAGTCCCTACTGCCACTTTACATATGATACCTAGCATAGCATAAAATTTTTAAAGTCTCATGAAGAAGCAGGAAAATGGGACTTAAGACGAGGAAAGTAAACACTAGAAACAAACTCACAAATGGCCCTGATACGGTGATTTTCAGACAGAGAACTTGGAATAACCATAAAAATTAAATGAAAGTGTACTATAAAGGTCTATGTATTAGTCAAGTTTCTCCAGA